GTCTAATATTAGGTCCCGGACGAGGGGAGCCTTGTGAACCACAGACCTGGCATTTAGCAACAACAGCCTGAGACGAGGGCCCTGACCACTCTCGCCATCTGGAGTGGAACTAACAGGGCCGGAAGGAGGGATCGCTGTGACGTAGCGGACCCTCCTTCCCCGGTAATGGCTAGTCCTGAAGTTCCCGTCGTACCTGCTCCTCCCTGTCATGTCCATAATGTTCCGGCCCACTCCCGGACCCATGGACCCCATTTCCCCTCCCGTAGTCTCCGCTCTCTCCGGCAGGCCATTTATCTCAATCATTCTAGGATGGGAGGTAGGCCTGGGCCCCCTACCACTTCTGCAATAGCACTCAATGGAGGAGGCACCCGGCTGTACTCCCAGTTCTCTCATACATACACAGTCACTCACTCATTCATACAGTCCCCACATAAGTCAATTTAAAATTATAGGGTACAATGATAATAAAGATTAATAAAAGTGGGTACAACCATCAAACATCCATCACATACATACCCCATACATACCCCATACAAAAAGAAAAATTACGCCGCTGTTAAAATGTGCAAAGTTCATACAAAGTTTGTGGCAGGTTCAAAGAGTCCAGTCTGCTGAAGTTAGCGGAGATATAGAGGGAGAGAAAGTTCGTCTTCCCCCTTTCTCGTGTGATAGGATGGTGTAGTAATAAGATGGTGTAGTAATATAGGGGTCCAAAAAAAGTCTGCAGGGGCTGAGGTGGTGTCCCCGGGCATCAACGGGCAGTGGTGGTCACACCAGATGGGGCCAGATCGCAAATCCAAAGTCCAGAAGCCATGATCAGGGAAGCCAGATGACAAAAGGCCCCATATGCATGAGGGCAAACAGAGGACACACAAAGCGCACCACAGGGGAAGGTCGAGTCCTGTAAGATGGAGGAGGGGGGGGAGTCTAGAGGGTCGTGGCAGTGGCAACGAGGCCAGCAGTCTAGTCTCATACAGTGCCATACCAGGCTGCCTACCCCCCTCTCTGAAACAGGCCCACAAAGTCCAAGAAATCCCAAAAGCGGGGGCAAGGATGTCAGGGAGTGCCAGAAAACGCCAAGCAACATAGACCGCCAAGGCTGAGGGAGGGGGGCGCCTAGGAGACCGCGGCAGCAATGGGCCAGAGATGAAAAGGCCAGCCGCCTCGCCTCGTCCAGCGCCGTTCCAATACACCCACCTCCTCTTTGATAGCAATAGTCCTCAAGCAGCCAGGTCACTCCAAGGGCTCCTCCCAGTCAGCAAGAAAACAGCCAAAAACAGCCAAAAGAACCAGGACTAGGGCCATGAAACGCCGAGAACAGTGTCTTCAGCGCGGCGGCGCCATTTCCGTCATCATCGCCGAACGCTGCAGAAGTTACTCCGGGCGGCTGCGTGGACCAGTAGCCGGCCGACAGCGGCAACCCCTCACAGAATGCCACACGTTTCGGTCCCCGAATTGCACTCAGTTGCTGGGACTTCTCGCAAGACTCCGAATCAGGTTGCCGATTTTCTCAGGCGTTTTTCCGTTATAGCAGGTTCTACAATACCCTGGTCTCAGGGTATGTATATTCAAGACTACATACATATTTGTGTATATAGACATGTGAACTGCACACATTTGACTGAGTTGCTGTATTCATGTTTATCATTAAGAAAGGTTGTTCAGCAGAACAAAGGCAATTCCCAAAATCTCAAGTCTAGTCTTTCTCTCTTCCAGACTTGTGGTACAATATTGATTTTCTTTGGCATGAACTGACATACTTACCCTTCCACCCTCCTTCCCTCCCTCCCTTCTTTCCTGAAATTTATATGGCCACCTACTTGCTCACAATGACTCTAGGCGATTTACAAGTAGAAAAAACAAAAAACAATAATTTCCCCCCAACGGAACAACACACAATCAAAGGAGCCACTTGATGGGTTCCATCCCACTTTGGATTTCCAAGTCTTCAAAGCCTTTTGAAAGAGTGTCAAAGTGGAAACTGGTCTAATTTCTGAAGGTATGATGTGCCAAAGGGAGGGAGCCACCACTTTGAGTCTTTAGCATCAGAGGCCTGCTGACTTAGAAGTCTAAGAGTTTAACATCTGACTTTCTGCATGCAACTATCAACCAGTGATTTCCATGCCCTCATTCATATTATTGAACTTAAATAAACGGGCACCGCTCTTTTGAGCATAAAATGATCAGGATGAAAAAGAATCCACTGATTTGTAAGAAAGTGACAAAATATATTGACTCCTTGTAGCTGATGAAGTCAGTGAAATGATAAATGTGCCTTATTTGAAAAGACATAATGCTTAAATCTTTAAATATTTGCAGAAAAATGGTATGAACAAAAATAGATTAATACGAGAATGAAGGTTTTTTTTAGTGCACAGCTTTAATTTAAACCTCAAAAAGTGTGTTATGGACTATTAAAAATGAGCTAAACGTTACACAAACTAGACTGCTTTTGTGGCTAACATTTCATAATGAATAGGCATTTGGTTAGGATTCTCAAGAGGTTTGTGATAATTTTGTCACAATTAGTGAAATGTGAGATAGTATGTGGGAAATGTCATTGGCTTTGGGAGAAAAAGAAGCAGCAGATAAAATGTTAGGATTTTTTAAAAAAAAAAAACATATGAAGAAAGGCCTTCTTGGGTGGAAAAGAAATAACATATCTCATGAAGTCAGGTGCTTCAGTTTATTGACAAGAAAAATCTTACTGAAATTTTTAATAAACCCAGTAAAACCTGATGCAAACTAAACTGGGAAAAGATCCAGAAAAAAGAAAAGGAAAAGGAAAAAAGAAGAAAAACAACAGACTATAATAAAGAATTGACTTCCAAACTTTATGACACTGAGCATAAGCTAATTTGTGCTCATTTTTACAATTTCCTGACTTTAGAAAAGAATATTGAAGGAAAGCAAGTAGGCAACAGTAAAATGTTTGGATTCAGTAATACTATGGTATCTTTGCTGATTTCATAAACAGGGTTATCTTTTCAAAAGTTCGGGGAAAATAAAGCTGGCTGCTTTTATCTGAAGAAGCTA